GCTTGCTCAAAAACAAGAAGGGGGAATTGTGGGATTTCTGAAGGCCAGTGGTCATGTTGTGAGCAAGCCAGATAAGGACGGAAGGACTGCTAACTAAGAGATAAGGAGTGCAGCTGAGAGTCAGATAAGGAGTTAATGAGCTGAGCAGTTGTTAAATGTAAGGACACGTGGGCACTGTTAGTTAGCCTCTGTTAGTTAGCCTATCACACTGTATAGTTAGATGCATAGACGCGGGGTCTTAACCAATCATTGTAAAGAAGCCCTCGCGTGTACGGGGAAGTCTTGCATATAAGCGCGATTGGAACCCTAAATAAACTGGTACTGCTTGATCACATTGATCGTGTCCGTGGTGTCCGAGACCCCCGCGTCGACAGCGACCTGTGATAGAACTGTCAACACATGCAAATTTTTGCAGAGCTTTTATTCACAGCTCAGGTACTTGCAAGCTCCTTCCTTTTACTTAATCTGGGAAGGCAGGAGCATTATGTAAAGCAACCAACAGCAAAAAATGTGAAACGGAATAGGACCAGTAGCTAGGAAGGACTTTGGAGGCAGCTGAATGACCTTCTCCATCCTGTTTCCACCTCTCTCCTCAGCGCAGTCGCTCAGCTCCTTGCCTTTCCAAGGTGAGTTAGACATGATGGTGGTGACACCTTGCAGCTCCCCATGGCTCTCTGGAAAGCAGAACGTTCTTGGGGAGGTCCCCGTATGGCTGCACATCCCTACACTGCTCTTCCTACATTAGACTAGATGCAGTCATCTTAAGATAATGTGCCCTATCCTATGTGCATACTCCACTTAGACATATTGGTGTATGTAGCATCAAGGGGGATCACATAACTGGTGTGCACACAGTTGGGATACAGTCCAGTACATTTAGAGAGAACAGACTGAGAAATTCCTTCCAGAAACACCGGGCTGTGTGCAGAGCTGCTGCAGGGACAACCAACAGCTTCTTCTTGTGCTAGAGAGAAGCTCAGTGCACTAAATAAACTACTTAGAGCAACATCAGCAACATCTGGTATGCACCAGTCATAGGAAGATGTGGAAAGCAGTGGGATAGATATGCTGAACAGAGAGGAAAATCTGGGAAGTCAAGGCTTTGCTGTCTCCTGAAGTTCTCAGTTCCCTTCTCCTCTGAATAAAATGGACAAAATCCAAGACCTGCTTTGCACAAAACCCAGTCAGGATTCAGCGAGGTGACTCAGGGGCCACATGTCATTTCCGTGGGATAATATTTCACTTTGGTTAGAAATGGAGGGGACACAGGACTGTGTTAGAGAGCTGACTCATTCATTAGGTGACCTTCAGCTGTGTCTTTTGGGGAAAATATTTACATGGAAGGAGAGCTAAAGCCCTTGAATAGCTGGTTTTAGGAAGGCTAACATCTTTGGAAGATGTTAAGAGTAGGGCAGAGGACACGAGGTAGCTGCAGTTCCCCAGGACCACAGTTTAGGACAACATGCAGCTCAGCCACATGCAGCCCCTGCATCCAACTTGCAACTGCTGCTCTCCCTGGAAGTGAGATCTGATCCTGTCTGACAGGCTAAGTGATCCTTCAAGGTCTAGTCCAGCTTTGGTTTCTGTGGGTTTGTTCCTCATCTGTCCATACTGTGCAAAAGTTGATCATAATATATCTTTATATTATGAGGGTAAGGAAAGGGGTAAAAGCTGTCTCAGAAATAATTTGCAACTATTGTATAAAAACTGCCTCAGAAATACCAAAATGGTGGTATACACTCAAGCTATAAGAGTCTGATGATAATTATAGGGTGCACACACTTATAGAGGAGTGATGTTTTATTCTCACTTAAAAGACATAAAGCTTTCAAATAACACAGGCTGCCTCCATATGAAGGCTTACTGTTTCTTGCTGCGTGATTGAACTACTGCATGTTTCCCCCTCAACAGACTCCAGCGTAGTCTTTATTTAATTTTTTTAATAGCTTTTAAAATAAGTTCTTCTCACTTGTGGCCTGGGGAAAAAAAAAAGAAAAAAAAAGAAGCATTTTTAAAGATTCACTTCTGCAGCTGATTGATTCTCACTCTATGCAAAAATCAGGCTGCTAGAAAACCAGTATTTAGCAGGGTCCCTGCCAACAGAATAAATATACACAGCAAATAATTATTCTGACAGATTTGTCTTGTCAAAGCAGGCAAGGACTCTCCTATTGAGCTCCCTAATACCACAGGTGGGGAGATGAGACCATTTCAGTGACCATTTGAACATTTTTTACAGTAGCGGTAGTTTCCTGATGTATTCCAGCATTATTCCCTGCTGGCCACACAAAAGTTGACAAAAAAAAAAAAAAAAAAAAAAAAAAAAAGACCCAAACACCTGTCATCTGAG